TTGTTCCTTAAAACCCATGGATTGTTAAATCAAAAATAAAATCTTTTCGAATTTACAAGAGCTTTTGACGTAAGCTGTTAAATTTGGCAGCTGGGTCTACAACAAAAATATGTTTGTTTTTAAAAGAAATTTCTTGTTGATTCTATCAAATTTATTTTATGAAATTTATTTTATTGATTCATAAATAATGTCGATTTTTTTTTATGTTTTGTTTTCTTTTTGCAACAAACAGAATTGCAATTGACTTTCTGAGGCATAAAATCACTGATCACGCCTTTCTTCGGAAGAGAAGTAAAGCCGTTGGTCTCTGGTTCATGAGTTGATGGGTCGATATGTAGGGTCCAGGTGTGGGAGCTGTTTTCCTGGCGTCGGGATCATTGGTACTCAGTACGGAAAACAAGATCGACGGAAAAAAAAATCAAGGAAAAAAACAGAAAATTGATTATATTTAGCAACTGCAGCTCGAACTGCAGCACACTTACCTACCTCAAGTCTCAAGATTTTCGGAAATCTTGCACTTATTTCCTGAAATTCGGAACGCGGAAAAAAGCTAAATCAAACGAGAAAAGTTTTGTTATTGTTTACATATTTGTCCGGGTGAAAACGAGGGAGCGGTTGGTAGTTATTTTTGCATTCATGGCCTGGGGAATGGACACAGCAAATAAATGCTAAATTAAAATTAACTATTGCTGGCTTAATAATAGAATATTGTTATTTTTACAATAGTTGCAGTTGAAAAGTGGCTTATTAAAACAAAAATAATCCTATTTTAATTTATATCACTAAGCATTATTGAAACAACAAAATGCAATATAATTTCAACCGGAATTGTTTGTGTAAATACAACTAAAGTTTTTTTTGGTTCAATGCAAACAATTTTCTGTCCGTGTTTGATGGTTGCATATGTGGGCTCTGCAGCTCGCTGCTTGCAGGCAGCCTTTCGTTGTTACTGGAGAACAATTTTCAACGCCACACGCCGAAAGCACTGCTACTGCTGCTACTAACACCACCACACAGTGGTGTGGTCGTTGGGAGCGTGTGGTTCTGATTATGGCGATGAGTGTGCAAAATATTACGCAATTCCATCCTCCCTATTCGCACGCGCCCGAGGATCGGAGGCGAATGCTCGGGCGAATGCCACTTCGACTTGTTTCGTCTACTTACTACTCTCTGACGACTGTGCTGGGGAAGCAGCATATGCATGTAGGTAATTGATGGATTTGTTAGTTAATTCGACGGTTTTGGACGATGCAGAACATTTACCATTTTTTCAATAGTTTCTTGCTGAAAATCAACATTCGGAAGCATTGTTATCGATGCGTAGCCATATTTCTGATCGATTGGTGATAAAATTATTGAAATTGGACCAGGGGCAGCTGAGTTATTAACGTTCAAAATCTTTCTTAATTTGTTACATGTTCCATTTTCGGTTTTCACAAAGTGTACCCCCATATAGAAATCAAAGACGTAGTCCTACGTCAAAAGATAACAATTTTCCTCATGGGGTTTCAAATACCGAGAATCCCACCACGCATGCTATCACGGGTTATTAAATATATAGACGTAAACTTGAAGAACTACAATGGTAAACATTTGCTGCGTCGCGGCCATCGGTCTTCTCGTTCATTTACCGGCAGATACGCCTTTTTAATAGAAACTAAACGATCGATTCAACCTCTGGTGATGAATAGGAAAACGTCAAAAAGATTGTTGTGAGCAGAAATTGCTACCGTGAGACAGGAAACGGAACACTTTTTTACTGTTCCTGATAAATTGATTTATCAGAGATGCTCCAAAACTTGATCTACAGTTGAAAAATTTAATTCTGTAACGTTTTTGCAAAGATCCTGCTGGTGTTCAGGAATATTTTTGTTGAGAAAAATGGAAAATTAGAAAAGTGCCTTAGTGGTTATGATCTTCCAGATTTCTTGTGTGTGAATAGTTAAGGTACAAATCAGTTCATATCTGTGGAAAATCGTATAATAAGACAATGGCCGATGGAAATTGGCAAGATATTGAATTAAATAAGCTTTAATTTGCGTTGTGAAAAATAGTTATTCTGATGTAAACAAACGGTTTGGTTGACGTTTCTTCTTGAACTCGCGTGGCGCACTCTACGTTCGTGGTGCATTAAAAAGGCCTATTGCTTCTTCCGATGAAATGCCGAATATGTCGATAAATAATATAAACATTTCCATCTGTCACCTGGCGTGTCACGAACTCTCTTTAACCAGCGATGCAAATTATAAATGTGCATCGATGGCAATCTTTGTTGTTCTTTGTCAAAGTTCAAAGCTACGATGATATCAGTATTTAAATATTTATTGATGAATATTTGTAAAGAATACTAAAGTCCATGTGACAAATCGAAATTAAAAGAAATTTAGTATGGCACCTTTATATCACGGCTAGAAATCTCCTTATACCTTTTGGAAAATTTCTATTGCTGGTTTTTCATAAAATGTATAAGTCAACTAATAAGCAGACGCCTTGCAAAAAGTTAATGAAGATCATGTGTCAAATGAAAGGTATAAGCGGTCACACACCTTTTATGCATTCTTATAGGACGTGGTTTGTCTTATGGAATGTATAAGGCTGATGTTTTGGCAAAAATGTATAAGTGAAACACATGGATAAAATAATTGATTTTCGTTTCGTGTAGATTACTATCATATGACCGATGAAGAAATAATCTTTAATGTAAGTATCGATCAATAAAGATTTTTAAATGTGTACATCGAAATCATAGAAAATTTAAAGTAAAGAATTGCCGACATAAATCTTTATTTCTGTATAAAGAACTTTGAAGAAGTTTAACGAACGATTGGTCGGGAGGCCCGAGGGGAGGCCTTAACATGGATACTGCTACACGTTAACCGCAAAATACCCAATAATGACTATAAATGACTCAATATTGACTACAAAGTATACTTGCTCCATTTGCAAAATAAAAGCATCTTAAGATTGCACTTTTATACCACCCCGTGGAAAATTTTGAAACCATCATCACTCTCATAGTTCTTCTATTCTCCACGAGTGCCAACTTTGATTTGCCAATCGCTACGCTCCTTGATTCCCATTTCAATAGACTGTACCTGGAGTCTTCAGCTCACGCACGGGCAGTAAAAATTGTGTGTGAGCAGATCTATAGTACCGAAAGAGTATGGTGTACATGTTCAGGAAACTTCATAGAACCTCAGAGACCGTGAAGAGATTCAACGAGAAATGTTGCAAACCTCGATGCAAACTTTATAGAAGTTCAACGGTCTTCGTAGCGAATTACGTTAGTTATTCGAGGAACTTCGTAAACTTCATACACGAGTTTGGAATTTTATAGAAACTCAGAAAACTTCGTAGATCTACAAACTTAGAAGAAATTTCGTAAACACAAAAAAAAAAAAGTTGTTCAAAATAAACTTCTGAGAACGTCAGTGATCTTCGTATTAGATTAGTTTAAGGGGAATATTCGTAGAATTGCTTCCGGGCATTTGCTGAAGTTAGAAAATGTTCGCAGAAACTTCGTAGAAATTTCAAGACGCTAAGGGAATCTGGTAGATGTTCAGGAAACATTGTTAAAGGTTATTGGGAATTTCTACAAGAGCAGAAAACATTGTTGAAATCCAAAGAACTTCCCAGAAATTTGCGGAAATTTTGTTTTAGCTATGGAAAAATCGAAGAAATTCAAAGATCTTTACAGAAGTTGACGGAACTTCCAACAAGTTCAGAGAAGCTTAGGGAGCTTTGTTTAAGTTTGTGAAACTGAGTATAAGCTCAAGAAACTTCGTGGATTTTAGAGAGCTTCGTCAATATTCACGGATTTTGATGAAATATCCTAGGGAAATATCAATAAAATCCGCTAAACATTGCTCCATACTTTATGTTGATCAACTATTATTCTGATGATCTGAAAAATTCAAATGCCTTATTTCAGATATTCCTCCAAGGAGATGGTTGATAAGATAAATAAAAAGATCTCGAGCTGATCAAAATATTTCAGTTAAGTCCTCTTTCAACTCTTCAGATTAATCAAGTAGGGGAAATGGATGTGATGTCGGCCTAAATGCCCCTAATTTGGGCCCATACATAAATTCAGCAATGGACTAAATTTTCCATAGCGACCAAAAATATCCATTAGTACCATCCCAATTACGCGTTCACCTAGATAAAATTGATAAATAGAAGATTTTTAGCGATGGGCCCAATTTCAGATCCATAGGCCAACATTAGAGCCATTTCCCCTATTAGTCTGAGGATTATCAACTGTTGAAAAAAAAACTGCGTGTCTCAGATATTCTCGCAAGCTTGCTGGTAAATGAAAACATCTCCAGCTTATCAAAGGTTTCAATGAAGTCCTCTAATCACATTTATCAAGATCTTCAACTGTTCAAAAATTCAATTAGTGTCTCTCAATTAGTGCAGTCTTCCAAAATGACAGGTTGTCAGTAAGTATTCAAAAGATTTACAGCCGATCGAAGATTTCAATAAAGTCCTGTGGATTGAAAACTTCAGCACTTCAAGTGCTTCAACTCTTCAAAAATGCAAATGATGGCTCTCAGATATTTTCCTTTGATGGCATGCATGTTGATCAGGAAGTATTCAAAATATCTCGAGCTAATAAAAGCTTTTCAGAACAATTCAGATTGCTTCCATTAATTTAAGGAAAGTTCCGGAAACGTAAAAAGAATTCCGAGAACTTTGAAATATTTGGGGATCTTCAAAGAAATTTAGAGTGCTTTTAAATCAACCTTCGAGAACGTCAGAATTGCTCCACTACCCCTCCCTAATCCTCGGCTTTGGATTGACTTGCGCTTGCATTGCCCAGCCAAACGCTGCTAAATGAAAATGAAGGTATTTCTACTTCTTGATGAAGTCCACAATTCCGAAAAAAAAATTAAACCCTGCATGTATTTCTTTTGATTTGGAGATCATGGGAAATTCTGATCAATTCCATAACTCAAAATTTACCAAACGATCTCGGAAAACGGGACATGAAAACAGCCTTCTATTGCCACATTGTTCAAAACAAACATTTATTCGCCTTGTATTTTAAATGCACAGCTTTAAATACAACATTTTACCCATGGTTACACATAAACTTGGTTTAACTGCATTTAAAATGGAATTATCGATTTGAATCGCTGGGAAGGGTTGTTCCCCCCACTGCACGATTATAATCCCGTATCGATCCAAAAAATTTCTTCAACTACAACCAATCGTCGTGTGACACTCAACTCGACTAAATGCCGGTTTTGAGACAATTTTGACTACCGTGTTTCTCTTAAGAATTAAATTACAGAGGTTCCGCGCTGGCGCTTATTCCTCCTGTTTGGGGTAGGCAAGCTGATAGATCAGCTTGCCCATTCCCAGCATACCGGCCAGGCATAGCAAGCTGGTCACACCGAACAGTACGTTGTCTGTGGTTCCCCCCTTCAGGAATACTGGCTTGCCATCGGGTTTCTACAAAGGACAATAGAAAGAAAAAAATGTCACGGGTGATATCGAGCAGTCAGTTTGAATGCTTTTACCTGGAACCTGGCCTGGATGTTCTTCAGATGTTTGTAGCCCTCGGCGACTTCAGTGGACGAGGCAACCGACGTCCGGGAGAACTGGCGGGCGCTCTGCACGGCCAGACAGGCAACGTTCTGCAATGGGGAGGAAGGTTAATCCACGAAAAGTGCTTGCGACGGAGCTCGAAATTACGTAATGTAAGGTTAAGAGGTTGAAGGGGATATTTTACGATTGTTTTCAAGTGATATTGTAAATTTTCAATAAAATTCGAGAGGACAACGAATATACCTACCCTTGCGCTCATGATGACTGCTGTTTGCAACGGTTTCCGACGGGAAATAACTGGTAAATTTCGGCTCGCAAACTTTTCGTCACCTTTTGCGTGTGGAAAATCTTCACCACCAGGAGATATGAATGAACATAAATTCGAGCAGCGCAGAAAGTATGGAGAAAAATGTGACAGCTCCTCCAGAGAAACGTCATTTTTGCGGGGTCAAAAGTGTCAACAAAAAATATGTTTATCAGCGTTGCCAGATATAGCGATTTTCGAACTTGATACCGATATTTATGCAGAAAAGGTTGCTCAGAATATCGATCTTTGATTGTATTTATGTTCTGCGATGAACATAATTCGCATAATCATATAAATAAAATCATAAATATCATATTAATAAGGTATCAAAAGGCCCAAAAAACTATTATTGCCTGCCCACTCTGAACTGTCAGAGGAAGCTATTTTGAGTGTTGTGTTTTATCGAAATTTGGATAAAACCAGATCTGAATTTCGGTAAACTGTTCCCTAATAAAAATTGTATGGTTAATTTGCTTAACGACGTGTTCTGGGTATCATCCAAACCATTTGTGGAATAGTTCAATGATTTGGGTTATCGTTCGTTTATGGTTATTTTTTATTAGGGTTATAATATAACATGAACATATCAGTGCCAACATTTCAAAGGGGCGTAATTGCTTTTGTAAACAATGACTTTAGCCGGCAATTTCTCGCGAATGAAATCTTACCTCTCCAAAATTACAATGCTAGTTGGTAGAGGAGACATTCCTCTACATGCTGGTATCATTATTTTTCATGAGTGAGCTTTTATTCGCGAAAAATCGACGGCTAAAGTCATTGTTTACAAATGCAATTACGCCCCTTTGAAATGTTGGCACTGATATTATGTTCAACAAAACTTCAGCAAATTTCAAGCCACATTTTCAGTTTACTGAACTGTTACGGCAATATATTTCACCGAGGACAGATTTTGATATTAAATGTGTAGGAATCGAGAAAGCTGTGAAGGCCCAAGCGCAAAGTGGGCGGAAGCGGAACGGAAACGGAAAGTTTGACAGTTGTCACAAATGATATCAAGATGCCTAACCGAAGTTGATTTGGTTCTAACCGAGGTTCTAACTAGTTTTCAATCCGACAAGTAGGCTTTCTCAGATCGGGCTTTTCCGCTGCCGTTCCGCTTCCGCTGTCATTGCGCTTGGGCCTTGATGGTCCAACCATAGAGGTAACTCTAAGACTAGTAGGTCCCGAAGAAAATCATTATTATTTTTGGCTCACTCAGTACCAGAACAACGGTCCCAAGCAGTCCCAAGCTATTTCACTCACCCCTGCATGTTCTGCATGAATTCACACACCCCTGATGTTATCTGTCAAACTTTCATAGCGAATCAAAACAAACATAGTGTAGTAATAGAATTTCAACTAGAATAGGGTACGTTAATCGTTTGCTTGGGACCAATAGGCTACTAAAGTGGTGAGCCAATTTAAAATCGTTAGTTTCGTATTGATTGTTGATTATCGGATAGGGGCAACTATCACCTTTCCGAAAGTGGTATTGTTTTAGGTGGGCGCACTTTGGTACGCGTGTAAAGGGCCTTAGAAAGTTTGTTTACAAATGCTTTTGTGCCGTTATCAAATGTTATGCCTGATATGTTCAACAAAACTTCAGCAAATTTCAAGCCACATTTTCAGTTTACTGAACTGTTACGGCAATACATATATTTCACCGAGGACAGATTTTGATATTAAATGTGTAGGAATCGAGAAAGCTGCACAGAAATTCAAAACAACCCAAAATTAAGTTCTTTTCACTCATCTCCCATGTTCCGTACAATAAGCCAAATTTGGGTAAACCGGCTCAAAGTAGTTTGCATTTAAGCACGGCAAAAAAAATTACCCATCGCTAAGTTATTTTCAATTTTTTCTACCCAAAATTAAGTTCAATTAACTCAAATTTGGGTATATCGCATATTACTCAATTTTGGCTTCTCGTACGGAACTAGACGGTTGAGTCGAATCTTTCGTTCTATTTTTGACAACAATAGCGAGAGAAAATGAAACAGGCTGAGGTCAAATAACTCAAATTTGAGTTTAAAAAACCCAAGCGGTGGGTAGTTTTGTTTTTCTGTGTGTGAAGGCCCAAGCGCAAAGTGGGCGGAAGCGGAACGGAAACGGAAAGTTTGACAGTTGTCACAAATGATATCAAGATGCCTAACCGAAGTTGATTTGGTTCTAACCGAGGTTCTAACTAGTTTTCAATCCGACAAGTAGGCTTTCTCAGATCGGGCTTTTCCGCTGCCGCTGCCGTTCCGCTTCCGCTGTCATTGCGCTTGGGCCTTGATGGTCCATCCCGGTAATTCCTGCGAATCGGGAAAAACTTTTATTCAGAGAACAAATAGATCCATTAAAGGAATGGACAACAGGAACTCCGAAAAAAGAACACAGAATCACGAGAAACTTAAAAAGTTTCATTTAGGGAACGAATTAAAAGTGACCGTTTGCTTCAAGCGGTTAGAAACGAATAATAATTAATTTTCGGCAAAAATTGCCGAGATTCGGCAAATAAAATTAAGTGTGGCTTCCTTTTCAGCTCATCAAATCGAGCAGCGTCCAAAACCTTCGTAAAGATGTCCGCCAGTTGCTCTACCGTAGGGATTGTTTCTACCGCCAGTCTTTGCTGACCAGGTTGCTGTTGAAACCGACCCAAGTAGCCTACCGGGCAGCAGACATCCGGACGTTTCGACATCATGTTTCTAAAAGTTCGCGGTAAGGCTCTGAAATTAGTCGAGTTACAGTCTGTCATGCCAAACTTTGACAGCAGCTTCTCGATGCTGGCTGCCTGCATGGTTCCAGCGTTCCGATCACAGGTGATGTTGATTTCCAAGAAGTGCTTCATCGTGCCGCAATCCGTCATTTTGAAAACCTTGGGCAACTTCCGCTTCAACGCCTGAACAAAGTGTACAGGCAGTACTGGCAACAATCAATACGAAACTAACGATTTTAAATTGGCTTACTACTTGACTAGCCTATTGGTCCCAAGCAAACGATTAACGTATCTCATTCTAGTCGACATTCTAGTACTACATAATGTTTGTTTTGATTCGCTATAAAAGTTTGACAGATAAAATGAGGAGTTAATGGATTTCCCTATGTTTCGAGGGGTGAATCGATTAGCTTGGGACCGAAGATAGTACCACAGCTGAGCCAAAAAGTTGAGCACGTTTCTTCGAGACCTACTAGTCTTAGAGTTACCTCGCAAAAATCCAAGCTTCAGCAGCACGTCGTTGAATGTGTCGTTCCAACAGCGGGGAGACCGAGGGGGAGACTGTTTGAGTCTAAACAAAGACTTTTGCAAACGGCACACCATTCTAGTAGGAGCGTCGACACCATCGGGAACTTACATGTAAATCTCCTCACGTAGGTCGCCATGTAAGAATGCTGTCTTGTATCGTCCTCCTTCACACGTAAAACCCACTTGGACTTCAGTGGTGTCGATGAGACCGGGAATTTCACTAACTTCCCCACCTTTTTGGTTTTCAAGGACTTCAGCTCGTCGCTTTATCGCTTCCAGCCAGGACTCACGATCATCGCGGCGACCAATGTCGTCGTACATACATGGTGGATCTGTTGAAGGGAAAATATTACCAGCAGAGGTTGCTCTAAAGCTAGTAAAGAAATCCAGGAACTTACCTGGGAGCTTACGCTTCCGTTCGCTGCGCCTCGTGGTTAACTCTTTACAGTCGTCACACCACAGGGTTTGATACACCAGATGGTTTTTTTTTTAAACTGGTTCGTTTATTTGGGAGGCTCAATCGCGTTAGCTTTACGAAGCCGATAGTTCATTGTTCTTTGTTTGTAACAAAATTCACTTAATTCTGTGTCTAGTATAGGAGTTGGACCGAATACTCGCGGCTTACTCGAGGTTAGAGAGGTACATTGTCGAAGGATAGGATCAGGGGAGAAGCTTGGGGGTAAGGTTTCGTTATCTCATCAGAGCGTTGTCGCCAGTATGAACGGTAGTGCGGTTCTAGTTTCGTCTGGAGTTCGACCGGCTATGGTGACCGACACCAGATGTGGTACAGCACTTCCTTCGTCCGGGTCAGTTCATGGATTCCAGCACATTCACAGGATCGTAGATATTCCGAAGTGCATTTCAGGAAAGTTCCGAAAACTTCAGGGACATTACAAGTCCCTGTGAATACCAGGAAAATTTCTGGATCATTAGAACGTCTAAAAAACTTCAGAGAATATTGCGCTATCATTCCTAAGAAATATCTTAGTTCCGAAATGTTTTCCCAACTTCTCCTTTAAGTTTCTTTCGACTGTTTTCCGTAAGCCCTCTTATTTCCGACTTCCTCCAGAAATTTATTATAATCCACACCTTATACCCCGTTCACATTACAGCTTATATCACGTAATATAGGCTGTCTTGCAATGAGCACTCATACATAGGATTTCCAGTGAAAACTAGATGTATGAGTGCTCATTGCAAGACAGCGTATATCACGTGATATACGCTGTAATGTGAACGGGGTATTAGGAAGTTTCTCCCGTCTTCTCCAGGAAGTTCCATTAATCGTCTACCAGATGTATCTATCGAATTTTCTCATGTTTCCTACATTTTCCGTAAGTTCTGTCGGTTTTTTCCCCGACTTCTATTGGAAGATTTTCCCGAGCTTCTTCTGGGTTCCCCTGGAAATGCTACTGGAATTTACTTCTGATTTCCGAAACTTTTCTGGTTTTTTTAGATGCTTTATAAGATTTTTTTTTCGACAATGTCTTCAGATTTTCGCCAGAAATTAATCAATATTTTCCCGAGTATTAGATTCCTTAGAAGTTCCCCGGATGTTTTCCGATTTTTTACAAAACTTTCTACAATTTTCCGCCAGAAGAGCTTCTTTATTCTCTCTTTGGAACATTCAGCTTCCTCCAGAAACCAATTCAAACATTCCCCGGGAATTTCTTCAAATAGTAAATTTTCCGTTCTTAGTCCAAAAGTTTGAATTTTCGCTCGGCTTTTCACCTTCAAAAACGACATAAATATAAAATTAACTAATTTACCAATTTTTTTTTAAACATTTAATGACAAAAATCTTGATAGTCTGGCAACGCTGATTTTCAGCGCACTCGATTAGGTCGACTTATTTTTCCATTCAGCGCATTTCGTTTCGAGCAGTTTTGAGCACCCCTAGTTCAATATTTTGACTCTTCCACATTTTGCAAGCAACGTGCATTTGTTTACCTTTTTTCTTCACGTTTGCGATTACATTTTTGCAACCAATAATTAAATACAACATTATTTTCGTGTGAAAACCCGAGACCGGACCGGGGGATGGCCAACAAAATGCGCAAAGGTAGGAAGGGCCAGCAGCCCATGTCGGCGGCCGTGAAGAAACAGCGCCGGAAGGAGCGATCGCAAAAGGCGCCGGTTTCCCGCTTCAAGAAGAATCTGAGGCACATCGAGCGTAGCAAGGAGGCAATGGAAGCGCTCAAGCGGCAACAGGAAGCGGAACGGAAGTACAAGCACAAGATGAATGCGTCGGTTGAGCAGGAGCGGGATTTGGTCAGTGGGAGCGATGATGATGGGGACCAAGGGGCGCCGGATGCTTTCGAGACGCTGGTGAAGACGTTGAACAGTGGCCGGAAGGGAACCGGCAGGCGGGAGGAGGCTATTGAGAGTGAGGAAAGTGAGAGCGAGGATGATGGAGAAGAGGACGAAGATGGTGATGAGGATGATGCAATTGAGAAAGAGGAAGAAGAAGAGGATATGGAACTCGATTCCGAAGAGGATGGGAAGAGCCCCGTGGAATCTGAAGCTGAAGTCGAGGAAATCGAATCTGGAGAGGATTCTGACCAGGAAGAAGGCATCGAAGGGGATCCGTACATGGCCCACATTAGCCACAACATCAGTTCCCAAATGTTAGAATCGATTTTGGCCAATCCGATGGTGGCTCAAAAGACCACCTTGAAGGTTAAAAAGCTGGGACAGTTGATCATCGAAATACCCAAGGATCGTAGCAAAGAGAACCAGGCGGTAGCTCTTCTGGAGGACGATGAAATTTACGCCTCGGAAGGAACCATTCCAAAAGTGCTAAGCTTGGACAGTCTGGATCTGAAGAAGCTCCACCTCAAGGAACGGATCCAGCGGCACTTGGAGGAACCGGTCTTCAACGAATTGCAAGCCGAGTGCTTTTCCATTTTGAACAACTACCAGGATCTGTACTACCCGGCAAGGACCCTGGCTAACGGAGAAGCACTTCGGTTCGTATACTGCTTGCATGCCTTAAATCACATCATGAAGGCCACTTCAAAAATCCTCCATCACAACTTGAAACTGGCCGAGGCAGCCAACAATAAGAAAAACAAGAACAAGAAGCAAAAGAAAGAAGTTCATAACGCAGTTAGTCAGGAGTACCGCGATCAAGGACTGGTTCGTCCGAAGGTTCTGATCGTGGCCCCATTCCGAAGTGCCGCGCTTAAGATTGTGGAAACGCTGAAGAATCAGTTCGCTGGAGACGACCTGAAAGCCGTCACCAACTACAAGCGCTTCCTTGAGGAGTACGGAGGAGATTCGCTGTACTTTCCGCGGCACAATCCGAAACCGGAGGACTACGAGCGGACGTTCGCCGGCAACACAGACGACAACTTCCGGATTGGGATTTCGTTCAGCAAAAGTTCCATGAAGCTGTACACCAAGTACTACAATTCGGACTTGATCCTGGCATCGCCTCTGGGCCTTCGCATGACCATCGGAGCCGAAGGAGAAGCCCAGCGCGATTTCGACTTCCTATCGTCCATCGAGTTGCTTATCATGGACCAAGCGGATATCTGCATGGCTCAAAACTGGGATCACGTGGTCCATCTGATGGACCATCTCCATCTGCAGCCTCAGAGTACGGAACATACGGACTTCTCACGTGTTCGCAACTGGTGCATCAACGGATGGTCCCGTTTCTATCGGCAGACGCTTCTTCTGTCCTCTCACGACCTACCGGAGTTCAGATCCATCTTCAACAACAAGTGTGCCAACTATCGTGGCAAGATCCGGACTGCCAACCCCATCAAAACCGGTTTCATCAGGCACGTCGTCGTTCAAGTCCCTCAAACCTTCCAGCGGATCGAGGTAAGCTCCTTGGAACAGTCATTCGACACCAAGTTCCATCATTTCACGTCAATCCTGCTGCCCCAGCTGCGCTCCATAACCATGTCCCGCTGTTTGATCTTCATCCCATCCTACTTCGACTACGTCCGGCTGCGAAACTACTTCAAAAAGGAGGAACTCAGCTTCGTTCAAATCTGCGAGTACTCCAAGGACGCCAAAATAGCCCGTGCCCGGGACATGTTCTTCCACGGAAGCAGTCACTTCCTGCTCTACTCGGAACGATCGCACTTCTTCCGCCGTCCCCGAATCAAGGGCATCCGACATCTGGTGTTCTACCAACCACCGACCTACCCGCACTTCTACGCCGAGATGATCAACCTGATGGCCAACGAGTACCAGAACCGAAAGGACGGAATCGATGCCAGCTCGATGACCGTAACCGTACTCTACACCAAGTACGACGTGCTGCGACTATCGTCCGTAATCGGATCCGAACAAGCGGCAAAAATCGCCGCCAGTCCGAGAGCAGCCCATACCTTTACCACCCAGAAGTAGAATAAATTCTCCGGTTTCCACAAAAACCACCTTTCAAAGTCCTCAATCTGCGAAAGAAATCCCCCGCCTCCTGGAACTTGTGATAATACCAAATGAACCACCAAACACCTACCTATCAACTCATATGCATTTCTCCGACTCTACTCAAACTTCTTCGACACATCCAGATACTCGCCGTCGGGCATCTCGTAGCCTTCGATCGGAGGCGTCACCACCGGGCCCACCGCCTGGAATGGCACCAGCCCTTCGTCCACCTGCACCGCGCTCTGGTACAACTCCTCCGATTCCAACCGCAGCTCGTTCAGTGCCTTCGTCTGCGCTGCCAACACCCGATCGATCAGCTGATAGTCGGCCAACTTTTCCGCCATCTTGTACTTGGCCCACTGCTTCTCCAGCAGCACCCGGCTCTCGGCCACCTGAGCACTGACCTTGACACCCGTTCGCTTCCGTTGGGCCTGTTCGTCGATCAGTTCAATCGGAAGTTCCAGCTCTTCCACCGGCTTCAACTGGCGGGCATTCTTCTCCAGCCGGCGGATCTGCTTCTCCAACCGTTTGCGCTTCCGTTCCTCCCGATGCTTCAGGACCTGTGGGTCGATTTTTTTCTTTTTCTTCAACGGTTCCGCACAGAGGATTGGCGTGAAGCGGAAGCAGCTGGGGCTCCCGGTGTGAAGCGAGCGAGCTAGGAAAGTTCTCACCGGTGGGAGATAAGTGGTCCTGAAGAAGGAAAAGGTTAGCCGTACTGATGTAATCCAAGTCTGTAGGATTGTTACCTTAAAATTGCTCCAATCAACGTCATTTTGGTGTGCTTTTTGATGGAAAGTCACTAATTTTAACTAGAATATTTTGATTTTGTTCGCTTTCATAACCACCCAGTCCGCAGTCCAGCAGAACGATTCGGGCGATTCGCGACACGATCAAAATAAGTAGCTGTCAAAATAGCAGTTTTTTTCCGAAAGTGCTGCTCGAAATCGGTCACTTTCATTTGGGTCGACTTTGTTGATGCCATTTTTTTTGTTTTGATTTTGTTCTACACTGAAAAATATTGTCTGTTTCATTTGGGGCAAAATGCGCCGAAATCGTCGCCATGTAAATTCTGATGGAGTATGATGAGCACCTCGCTACTACCGATACCTTGCTACCAAAGGGAATACGGAGAAAATGAATTTAACTACTTTTGTTTCTATGCACGTTGAGTGCTATCTTTTTTCTCTCTTTTGCACACTTGTACCAACACTTGTACTTTGACACAAATAAACACGTTTCGCTTGAGTTCGGTCGCGTCTCTATTCCGCTTAGAGAAAAACCTTTGCTATCCGTTTTTACTCCGGTTCCGCCTATCTGCTGGTTGTCCGTCCTTCAGGTTATGGGCCCAGGCATCCGGAAGTGTGAAGTAGTGAAGTGTTTCGGTGGAGTTGTGGTTTTCCGGGAAGTTTCTGAGTAGGCTTTTCGAAGAGATTTGTTGCGGCGCGATACCTATTGCGAAAGTGTAATGGAAGGCATCGTTTGCCAAGCTCGGCAATGGAAATTATGCCTCGTGGAAGTTCCGCATGCGATCTTTGCTGGAACGAGAGGATTTGTGGGATACGATCGGTCAACCGATGCCGGAGGAGATCGATGAAGAATTTCCGCAGTGGAAGAAGAACGATATCAAAGCGAGAGCGACCATCGTTCTGTTCGTTGAGGACAGTCAACTCCGCTTTGTGAAGAAATGTGAAACGGCTCATCAGATGTGGGAAAATTTGCGAGTGTATCATGAGAAGGCCACCATCGGTAACCAGGCAATGTTGTTGCAGCAGTTATGCTCGAAGAATTTGTGCGAGGGCGGTGACGTCGAGAGGCATCTTGAAGAAATTGAGTGTTTGTATGAGCGCCTCGACAATGCGGGCGTGGAACTCAGTGAGCTGTTGCGCTTAATTATGATGTTACGCAGTCTTCCGCCGTCGTACAGTAGTTTCGTGACATCGTTAGAGAATCGACCGCAGGAAGATCTCACGATGGATCTAGTGGTAGCTCGGTTGCGTGACGAGTACCAAAAGCGTGCGGGTCCCAGTGGACGTGGTGACAACAGTGAGAAAGTGCTGCGGGTTGCCGACAGAGAAAAGCGTGAAAAGAAGTGTTTCTATTATTCGAAGCCGGGACATTTTCAGAGAAACTGCCGTAAATGTCTCGCGGAAAAAGGTGGTGAAAATGCAAGTGAAAATCGTAAGCCGACGGGATCCAACCAGGCTGTTAAGCCGAAAGCAAAACAGGCGGCGGTGGTGATCGTTCGAAGCAAGCGGTCACGGATGATGTTGTCTGTGGGGCCGTGTGCTTTATGGCCGGTGACGTTATTCGTGGAGCGTGGACGATCGACAGTGGCTGCACGTGCCACATGACCAACGACCGTGAGTTTTTCGTGGATTTTAAACGCGGAGCCGTCGTGGATGTGACCCTGGCGGATGGAACGAAAACAAAATCGGCCGGAGTAGGAAGTGGCGTAGTTATGGGCGTGAATGCCAAGGGTGAACGCGTTGCAATTACTCTAGAGAATGTGTTGTTGGTTCCTTCGTTGGAAGGCGGGTTGATCTCTGTCCGGAAACTCACAACGAAAGGCCTCACAGTAGTTTTTGGGGCAACAGGCTGCTCATTCAAAACGGCTGATGATACCATCCTAGCCGTAGGCGAGCTGGTCGGTTGCCAGTACAAGTTAAAGCTGGCAGAACAGTGTTTGTCGGTTGCGGGAAATCATGGTGTGAACTGCCAGCATACGTGGCATAGGTGAATGGGCCATCGCGACATTAGTGTTGTGAATGCAATCGTGACACAGGATTTGGCCAGCGGAATCAAACTGACGGATTGCGGAGAACGGTTTGTGTGTGAGTGCTGCCTGAGGGGTAAGTTGGTACGAAAGCCCTTTCCACAGGTTCAAGACCGGAAGTCGAAGCGGCCGCTCGACATCATACACACCGATCTCTGCGGGCCCATGGAAAACCCTACGCCAAGCGGGAACAAGTATTTCATCACCCTAATCGACGATTTCAGTCGGTTTTGCGTAGTGTTCCTGCTGAAGTCGAAGGACGAAGCTGCCGACAAGATTATGGAATATGTTCGGTGGGTGGAAAATATCTTCGACAGGAAGCCTTGTGTTCTGATGGAGGAGGAGAATATGTAGGCGAGAGGCTGAAGCAGTTCTGCATATCGGAGGGCATACAGCAGCAGTTCTCGACTCCCTACTCACCGCAGTCAAATGGAGTAGCCGAGAGAAAGAACAGGTCCCTCCAAGAAATGGCCTGCTGTATGTTATTAGATGCCAACCTTCCTAATATCTATTGGGGAGAAGCGATTCTCACGGCCACGTTCATCCAGAACCGGCTTCCATCCACAGCAGTTAAGGGGACGCCATTCGAGTTGTGAACAGGCAACAAACCGAACTTGACAGATCTCCGAATCTTTGGATGTGAAGCGTATGTTCGTATACCAGACGTCAAGCGCAAGAAATTTGATCCTCGATCGAAGAAGCTTGTGTTCATGGGCTATTCCGGCTGCCACAAAGGTTTTCGCTTTCTTGATGTCGAAACCAATCGCATAGTCTTTAGTCGAGATGCTGAGTTCCTGGAGCTCCCGAAAGGATCCGGGCTGTGATAGGAGGCAAGCGCGCTTCCGGATATGCAGCAGGAGGGGCGGCGTGTTCCAGATGATCCAGTGACGGAGAGTGAAGAAAACCCAGTGGTAGTGTTTGAACACAGTGAAGATGAAAAGACGCAGGAAGAAGAGCGTCAGTCGGTGTATGAAGACGCAGAAGACACAATTGATAGTGACTTTCCTGGCTTTGAAGAACAGAGTGATGAACCGGAAGTGCCAGATGGATCAGTGATGAACCGCCATCGACACTTTGCTGTGTAAGTACGGCATGGAGAACTGTCGGCCCTCCAAGACCCCAATGGATCCTGGGTATACGTCAGCTATCGAAGACAGTAAGAGGTTCGATGACCCGACGCTGTACCGGAGCCTCGTAGGAGCGTTGTTATACTTGGCCGTGAACGCACGACCAGATCTGTCTTTGAGCATCGGATTGCTTGGGAGAAAAGTCGCCGAGCCCAACAACATGGATTGGGGTGCAGCAAAACGCGTGCTGCCGTATTTGAGCACAACGAATGACTGGCGATTGAAATTCGGACCAGGTGAAGGATGGCGTCTCAAGGGCTTCTCCGATTCTGATTGGGCCGGAGATCGCCGGACAAGAAGATCTACGACCGGGTTTATCTTTTTCTATGGAAGCGGCCCGATAAGCTGGGTGAGCAAGGGTTAAAGTTCTGTGGCTCTTTCATCCCTCGAAGCCAAGTACAATGCTCTATCGCTCGCTTGCCAGGAAACCGTTTGGCTAAGGCGGCTATTATCAGAGCTGGGAGTACCCGAAGGACAACCAACGGTCATCTTCGAGGACAACCAAGGGTGTCTCAGCTTTGCGACCTCGGAGAGAACTAGCGGTCGTGTTAAACACATTGACACCAAGAAGCACTACATACGGGAGCTGTCAAAACAGAAAGTTGTCAAATTGGTGTACTGCCCGACCATCGAAATGGTCGCTGATGCACTAACCAAGCCGTTGGGACCAACAGCAATGCAGAAGTTCATCGATCAAGTTGGACTGAAACCCTAGACTCGGTGTTCATCCAGGAGGAGTGATGGAGTATGATGAGCACCTCGCTACTACCGATACCTTGCTACCAAAGGGAACTACGGAGAAAATAAATTTAACTACCTTTGTTTCTATGCACGTTGAGTGCTATCTTTTTTCTCTCTTTTGCACACTTGTACTTTGACACAAATACACACGTTTCGCTTGAGTTCGGTCGCGTCTTTATACCGCTTAGAGAAAAACCTTTGCTATCCGTTTTTACTCCGGTTCCGCCTATCTGCTGGTTGTCCGTCCTTCAAATTCTTCTCTGCATACAGTGTAAATATTTGCCGTTTTTTAACAAAACTCAGGTAATCATGACGCAGCAGGTCACTTTTTTTCATTTGCGTTATTTTTGAATATCAAGTGTCATGATTACCTGAGTTTTGACAAAAAACTAAAATATTCACAGTGTGTGGAGTGAAGAATGTGGGAATTTTGTCATCATAAAATGGGTGAAAAATACCCAATTTAAGAATCAGTTTTCGCTAGCATAATGAGTATATTTTTGACCCACTAATTAACCACTTCATTCGAGCAGGTAAAATGACGTTTACTATCACTCAAACTTTGAAATAAAACATTATTTTTAGATTTTTTCTTCTAGAACCACGAGAAAAGTAGCCAACATTTGTACGTTTCATAAAAAAATAAAAATTAGTTGGTCCAGTTTTGTGAAATCGCTGGTAGAAAGTCACGCCAAAACTGCTTGACAAAGTGGTCAATTGGTGAAAAATCACTTATCTCCCATTACCGCTATTGTGGAAACACGACACAAGGCTCAGTCGTCTAATTTCTTATTTTCTGAATCACTTATTGCCGAAATGCGTGATGACGGAAGTAATAGATAAATACATTTTTTGATTTATTATTATTTTTTCTTCGATAAAATCAATTTGATCAGAAAACCTCCTGGTGGCTCTGGAACCTTCCTTACTGAAAGGAAACCTGGTTGCAGTCGTCTGATTCAGATTCCAAAGAATTCCATGTCGGATACCATGCCGTTGTTCAGCTGCTTGAGACCTTTGAACGACAGATGTCCCGTCCACTTGTGCCACAAATCGATCGACTTCATCGACCGATACATCAGTGTTGATGGTTGCTGCCTTAATTTGAAGCGTCCATTTGACCAACAACCAGTCACAATCCGCTGTCCATCCGAGTTGATCGCGTCGCAGACTTCCTTTCGAACAATAACCGTATGACCATAGAGGTAACTCTAAG